CCTTTAATTACCGTATTTATTGGCGTATAACAGGCCCCCGCGTATAACGTGCACCTCAATTTAAGAAGGAAATTTCAGGAAAAAATACTAAACATTCTATCGGCGTCTAACACACACACATGATTTGCTCCCTATTTTCGGGGAGCAAAAGTGCGTGTTATACGCCAATAAATACGTTACTTCAATATTTTATTACCCTACCCCCCAACTGCCCCCCCCCCCAAATGAATTATAATATAAATAAATTTATAAATACATTTTACTTTGTGCTGATCTACTTGAATGACACTAATGACACATACAATCGTAGGGAAAACATTTTATGACATGTTTAGCTTGTTAATCAACAAGTTAAAACGTTTTTATACTTAAATCTTTATAATGCAGAATCAATTAAAAGGTTGTTCAGGACTAAATATCATTGTTTGTGGAAGTATAAAAATGATTATTGTCAGTATAGCTGACAATTATAGTATAGTTTTCTAGTTGATACCATCTTCCCATGGAGTAGCCAGGTGTTGCTGTATCGTAACAATGGGCACCAGGGACATCATTTGGGTAGGACAGGGGGGCATTTGCACCCCCCCCTTTGATTTTGCTGGTTTTAAATAAATTGCTACGTACTGTGGCGCCTCCAGTAATAAACAACTTAACAAGCCGCCTAAGTTTTGTTTTTGCGCCCCCCCCCCCGCCATCACTTCCCCTGAAAAAAAAAACCCTGAAATCACGCCCCTGATGGGCTTAATCTATAGCAGCTGATTTATCATTTTTATTTTGCGGAACTGATATACCAGACAGTTCAACATCATCCATATCTAACCATTTAGCATTTAAAATAGAAGCATTGTCGGTGTGAGCAATAATAGCCATAAGCTTTCTCTGTCTTTGAGTTGCTATAGTTGTTATTGAACACCGATGAGTTGGGTTTTCTTTTAATTTAACACCGTGTACAATGATGTGTTAATCATTCTAGGGAGCGGATTAAGATAAAAATGACAGGTGAAGAGATGCCAACTTTTGACTTCTCTTGTGCTAACATTCTGAACAACCACCTGCGTTGCACAGACAGAAACACATTAAATAAATCTTATATTGTTAAAAGCCTAAACATTTATGACTATTTACACTCATTAAATTGTTTAAAATAATGTAAGAACCAGTCAATTTTTAAAATTAAAAATTTAATCGAAAAAAAACCCCATGTTTGTTGACGTCAACTAATCTAAATCCCCCTCCCACCCCGTTGTCAACAACTGTCAAATATTTCCAAACCCCCTCCCAACTATTTTGTTGACGTCATTAATGGACGCCCCCCAAACCCTTTTTTTTTGTAGAATAACTGATGCAGCCCAGTCTCAGACTCTACCTCATGCGGCCCCCGGATGATTTGAGTTTGAGAACCCCTGCTTTAAACCAATAAATAAATACGGAACTTTTTGAATGATCAATAGAAATCGACCCGGGGGGGTGGGGGAATAACATTTCATAAACTTCTTTAAAATCAGTTAAAATTTGCAACAATTATAAATTATGACTAGGGTAAACTTTATTTGATGTGGGCTAAGTATTAATGAGAACCCCTGCTTTAAACCAATAAATAAATACGGAACTTTTTGAATGATCAATAGAAATCGACCCGGGGGGGGGGGAATAACATTTCATAAACTTCTTTAAAATCAGTTAAAATTTGCAACAATTATAAATTATGACTAGGGTAAACTTTATTTGATGTGGGCTAAGTATTAAATTAATTGTTGGTAAATTTTATGGCTAGTTTTTTTTTCCCTCCACAATAGCGCGTATTAACAAGAGAATCGTTTTTTTTCATTATTGCCATATCAATATTATTATGGAGCAGGCTGACATTATCCTCGTCTAGTTTAACCATTCAGGGCTTAACGTGTCATCATTTTCTCTATGTGCAATAAGTGAAATCACCTGTCTCTACTTCGGGCAGCCGCTCGAAATGCTAGATTTCTTGTGCTAAAAAAAATGTATGAATTCCCACACCAGCAGGAAATACTGAAATTAAGAAGGCTTCCAACAGTTGCCTAGTAGAATAAGTCAATGATTTGCTTGTTTACGCCAAAATCGTAGTCTTTTGAGGTAGAAGAGTCTTTGGTTGAATTTCTTACACAGCATTTGGCCTTGCTCATGCCACGTTAGCTTATTATTAATGGTGACACCTAAGTACTTGTATGCCTCCACTTTCTCTACACTTTGATTGTTTATATTGAGATCTGTAATCTGGTGTTTCCCCCCTCCTGAAATCAACAACCATTTCCTTTGTTTTTGAGACATTCAGCTGGAGAAAATTTTCATCGCACCAATTGATAAAGCTTGTAACTAAATTGCGGTATAGGCCTTCTCCTTCAGATATTAAACCAACAATGGTGGTATCATCAGCAAATTTTAAGATTGGAACGGTGTCGCTTGAGCTTTGAATATTATTGGTATATATTGTATACAATACATGAGAGAGAACGCAGCCTTGTGGTGCCCCTGTGCTTATTTCTCTAGTTAGAGATACTTGGTTATTTACTTTGACATATTGTAGTCGATTTGTTCAAAAGTTCAGATCATGTATATATATTATATTCATGGGCAGCCTTGGAACCCTCGATTGATGTCGAGTCCATGGTGGCATTGTCCAGTTGGTTCCAAGCAATTATTGTTCGTGGGAAGAATGACTGTTTATATTGAACTGTGTTACACCGAGGCACAGTGAAGCATTTACTATTGTTCTGGATGTAACTGCTCATGGAGCTGTCAGAGGTGAAGTCAGTGTTTATTGAGCGTTTGGATCTAATTAAGCGACCTGGCTTCTGCGGGGTTAGATATGTGTTAGCTGGAATAGCCAGCACTAGCTCCGTGACCACTTTGTAGAGAAATGTTAGACGGAGCTTTTCTCGTCTGTCTTTGAGGGAGGGGATGTCAAATCTTTTTAAGAGGTCAGTGACGAAGCCAGGAGTGGTGGATTTGTAGTCAGTTGAGAGGAAGCGCACTGCGTTACGTTGTATTCGCTCC